GCTCATTTGTATTAGGTTGTTTGTTTTATTAAGTTTTAAGAGTTATTTATATATTCCAAATATGTTCTTTATCAACTATGTGATTCTCAGACATTTTTCCTAATTTTTCCTAATTCTCAGACATCTTTCCTAAAAATTCTCTGTTTTGCCTTTTTATTCTTTTAGCAGTGATTTTTGAAGAATAAACTATTTTTTACTTTGTTGAAGTCCCATTTATCAAATTTTTTCTTTTACAAATCATGCTGTAGTATATCTAAGAAACCTCTGCCAACCCAAAGCCACTAAAGTTTTCTCTTATGTTTTCTTGTAGAAGTTTTAGAGTTTTTTATTTAAGTCTGTGAACTGTTTTCAGTTCATTTGTGTGTGTGACATGTGATTGAGTTTGGATCAAAGTTTACTTTCTTTTTTTTTTTTTCTTTTTGTTTTGCATTTGGGTATCCAGTCGTTCCAGCATCATTTGTTGAAAAACAACTCTGTCTCAACTGAATTGCCTTTGCATCTTTGCCGAAAATCAGCTCTTAACATATATGTGGGTCTGTTTTTGGACTATTATTTTTCTATTTCTCTTTTGGGTTTTTAAAATTTATTTTATTTTAATTTATTTTGAGGCAGAATCTCGCTTTGTCATCCAGGCTGGAGTGCAATGGCATGAACTAGGCTCACTGCAACCTCCGCCTCCAGGGTTCAAGCGATTCTCCTGCCTCAACCACCTGAGTAGCTGGGATTGTAGGCGTACCCCACTACACCAAGCTAATTTTTGTATTTTTAGTAGAGACAGGGTTTTGCCATGCTGACCAGACTGGTCTCAAACTCCTGGCCTCAAATGATTCACCCGCCTCAGCCTCCCCAAGTGCTAGGATTACAGGCGTGAGCCAAGGCGCCCAGCCAATTATTTTTCTGTTTATCTTTATGCCACTACCACATTATCTTAATTACTGAGTAGTTTTGTGACATGTCTTGAAATCAGGTTAGTATAAGTCCTCTAACTTTGTCCTTTTCAAAGTTGGTTTGACTGTTTAATATTTGGAATTCTGTTTCCAAATGAATTTTAGAATTAGCTTACCGATTTCTATAGCATATTCCAATTGATACTGCATTAATTCAGATATTAATTTGGGGAGAATTGACATTTTAACAATATTCAGTCATCTAAGTCATTAACATGATGTATCTTTGCATTTATTTAATTTATTTAACTTCTTTAATTTTTCTTGGTAATGTTTTTTAGAGTTCAATATGTAGGTCTTGGACACACAGTGTATAGGTCTTTATTTATTTATTTTTTTTATTTTTTTTTTTTTGAGACAGAGTTTCGCTCTTGTTACCCAGGCTGGAGTGCAATGGCGCGATCTCGGCTCACTGCAACCTCCGCCTCCTGGGTTCAGGCAATTCTCCTGCCTCAGCCTCCTGAGTAGCTGGGATTACAGGCACACACCACCATGCCCAGCTCATTTTTTGTAGTTTTCGTAGAGACGGGGTTTCACCGTGTTGACCAGGATGGTCTCGATCTGTTGACCTCGTGATCCACCCGCCTCGGCCTCCCAAAGTGCTGGGATTACAGGCGTGAGCCACCGCGCCCGGCCTGGTTAATTTATTACTACATATTTCATATGTAAATGGTATTGTTTTTAAGTTTCAGTTTACAGGTATTTGTCGCTAGTTTATAGAAATACTGCTGATTATTGTATGTCGATCTTGTTTTATGCCATCCTGCTAAATGGACTTGTTAGTTTTTATAGCTTTTAGTAGATTCCATGAGGTTTTCTATGTAGACAGACAATCATGCAAATAAAAATCCATTTTCTTTCTTTACAATCTGGGTGCCTTTTTCTTTTTCTTGCCCTCTTACACTGGGTAGAATCTCTAATACAATGTTAAATAAAAATAGTGAGAATAGACATTTTTGTCTTGTTCTTGATCATGTGGGAAATGAATAGGAAAGTATTTGATCTTTTACCATGAAGTATGATGTTATTCTAAGTTTTTTATAAATGCCCGTTATTAGGTAGTTTCCCTTTCCTAAGAGTTTTTTATCAGGAATAGATGTTTGATTTGTCAAATGTGGTTTTGCATTGGTTAAGTAATCTATGGTTTTTGCTTTTAAATTTCTTAATATGGTGAATTACATTGATATCCCAATGTTAAACCAACTTCACATTCCTGGGATAAACACTACTTACTAACGTGTTATCCTTTTTATAAATTGTTGAATTTGATTTGCTGATTTTTCCTTTAGAACTTCTTGAATTTTGTTCATGAGAAATATGGGTCTGTAATTTTTTTTTTTTTTTTTTTTTGTAACACCTTAAGCAGATTTTGATAAGGAGATAATGCTGGCTTCATGGAACAAGTTGGGAAGGATTCCCACCTCTTCAATTTTCTGGAATAGTTTGTGTAGATTTAGTATTACTTCCTCCTTGTGTAATTTCTGTTTCTTTATTCCTATTCCCTATTTAGTGAGACACTGCTCATACATTAGTTCTTTAGACATGTTTCCTTTAGTTCTTTGAACACATTTTTAATTATGGATTTGAAGTTTTTGTCTGGTAAGGCCAGTGTCCAGGCTTTCTCGGGGACAGTTCTGTTCATTGCTGGTGGGAATAAACACTGTTCCACGCCTCAAATACTTTTCCCAGATGTGTGCACTCGTCAACTCTCTGCTGGATACTTGAGAGGGACCTTTTGCAAATCCTCATTGTCTGTGGCTCAGTACCTTGAAAATTGTTGTTTCATGTATTTTGTTCAGTTTATTATTATTATTACTGTTGTTCTAGATAAGAGGTAAATCTGGTTCCTCCTACCCTGGGCTACAAGCAAAGGTCTAGATGTTCTATGTATTTTCAAGATAGCTTTTTGATAGATTGTGTGTAGATTTTGAGAGATAAAAAAGAGATCACTACCATCTGATCTTCCTATAGTGGACTTTAGTGGTCAGAGAAACCCAAAGATGTAAGACAGCATTTAAGACCACATAGGCAGGGGGTAAGCAAGAAGAACAGGGCCTAGAAGCCAGGAGCTAAGGCACGGAAGTATAGCAGTGCATGGGATACCCTCAGACCAGCAAGTATGCATGGGGTTGCATGTGTGCGTGCACATGCACACTTAAGTTTATTAGCTGCCCAGATATTTAAACATTTCACCTAAAAGAAATGCAGATTTCTGACTTCTTGAAAATAATCCAGAGTTCTGGACCACAGCTCTACATTCTTTCCTGACATCCATCAATGAGCTGAGATGGACTGCCCCCTTTAGATGAGTCATCCTCTCTCCAGTTTGCCACAGTCCCTTGTATCATTGTCTCTGTTGTATTATCTTTGGCTTGCTTCCCTTATTCACCTTATCAGTCTAGAACATAGATTCCTTGGAAATAAGGCCAAAGGGGTGCACTTCAGAAAGATTAAGATTGTGTATTATCAGTGCTTTTTTTCGGAACTTAACCTTTTCTTTGTTCTTTATCATTCTATTTCTTTCTAAATTTACTGTCCTTTCTTCATTGTAATTTCTGACCTTTTCATTCTCAGTCATCTGACTTCATTTTACTGACTTATACATTTCTTTATTAGTCTATTCCGGGTGCCACAGAGAATACCACAGACTTCATTACTTAAACTACAGAAATTTATTTTCACCCAGTTCTGGGGCCTAGAAGTCCCAAGATCAAGGTGCCAGCAGGATTGGTTTCCAGTGAGGCCCCTCTTCCTGGCTTGCAGATGGCTCCCTTCTCATTGTGTCTTCACATGTGCTCATCTCTGTGTAAGAAAGAGCATGCTCTGCTTTCATCTTTGTATTCTTCTAAGGACACTAGCCTTATTAGATTAGAACCCCACTCTTCTAACCCCATTTAACCTTAATTATCTCCCTAGAAGCCCCTGTCTCCAAATACAGTTACATTAAGGGGTTCAGGCATCGACATATGAATTTTGGGGAAATAATATTTGATTCACAAGAATCTCTATTCAGTTTTATTTAATACTTGATTTTGAAATTCTTGCGTCTTTTTCAAGCTCCTCTTTGGTGTTTCTCGCCATTCCTAGACAACTTAGGGAGAAGATACTCTCTTCCATTCTTCAGTTTTCCTTTTTGTTTCTTTGTTTTCGTGTTTGCTTTCTCCTAATATAAAGTATACCACAAAACATTTGTTTTATATTTTGCTATTGCCATTGAATCATTTGGAAAGCTACATTGCTCATTCCACAGATAAGGATGTTACAGCCTTTTTTTTTTTTTTTTTTTTTTTTTTTGAGACGGAGTTTTGCTCTTGTTGCCCAAGCTGCAACAAATACTCTTGTTACCCAAGTGCAGTGGTGTGATCTCAGCTCACTGCAACCTTCACCTCCTGGATTCAAGCAATTCTCCTGCCTCAGCCTCCTAAGTACGTGGGATTACAGGAGTGCCACCACGCCTGGCTAATTTGTTGTATTTTTAGTAGAAACAGCATTTTACCATGTTAGCCAGGCTGGTCTCAAACTCCTGACCTCAGGTGATCTGCCTGCCTCAGCCTCCCAAAGTGCTGGGAATTCAGGGGTGAGCCACGACACCCAGCCTATAGCTTTTTTATATATAAACTTCATCATTCCTTTTCTTGTAATTAATTAATGTCCTGTACTTTTACATGTGTGCGTTTCCATCTAAGTTGATAAAACTTTCTGATTTTTCCCAAGCATCTAATATTTTTCTGAGAGAAATGAAATTTATTCTATTCTGTAAGTCCACAGATAATAGTTTAAGATTTTGGCATGTATTTTATTATTGTCCCTTTATCATGGCTAAGAAGGAGTCCAACTAGCCAACAATTTGTCTATTTACATTATTTTGAGCAATTCCGTCTCTCACCCCCGTTTATAACCACTCATTAGTGCTGCTGGATTTTTTTTCTCTTATGTCCTCACATGTATCCCCCTTTTTTATTTCCACTGCCATACCCCTAGATCAAAGCCTCATCTGAGCTTTTACCCCAGCTCTCTTATTGGTCCCTTGTTTCTGATCTTTCCCTCCTGTAGTTCTGAAATGGGCAAAGAACAGAGCCATGAGGACCGAGGGCACATAATGGATACACAGGTGAGGAAGAATAAGCAAGCAGGCCAAAAAGTCGCTCTAATAGAGGTAAGAGGAAAACCAGTAGAAAGTTGTGCTATATTATCAACAGGAAAAGACTTAGGAAAGCATGGTCAGCAAGGACAAACACCAGAGAGAGGAAAGTAAAGTAAGGACTGACAAGTTCCCTTTGGGATCTGTAACCAAGAAGCCACATTTGTGACCTTGGAAAAGGTAGTTTTGATGGAGGAACCCGGAAGCGTAAATCAGATTGTCTCCAGCCAAACAGTAAAAGACTGTAAGAATAATCTTATTCTCTTTAGAAGCTGGAATTTAAAGGAAAGAAAAAGCTAGGCAATAACTAGTAGAAAACACAGGTTATAGACAAGATCATTATAAAGAGGGGAATGACAAGACAGTTACAAACTGAGAGGAAAGAGCCCCTTGAGAAGGAGCTATCAGAGGTGTCGGAGCAGAGTGTAGTCCATGGGGGCCTAAGGAAATCCAGAGGATTACAGCTCAAGAGTGGCCACTTTTTCCACTGAGGCACACCGGAGGGAAAATGTGTTTTGGGTGTTAGGTGTTGGGGTATTAGAAAGGCAGAAAAAGCCTCCCAAAAGGCCTTTTCTCTGTTGAGTAAAAGTGAAATTTGTCTGTTGAAAGTGAAATGTTACAAAGCTCTTCATGTACACATTCGTGAATTTGTCATTTTGTAGGAACTAGATTCAAATTTTTCATATTTTTATTTTTCTGTTTTAGAACTCTAAAATCTAATTGTACAGAAGCATATAGATGAATAGTTGTATAATCATGGGCTAAGGAATGATTTTTAACCTTGATATCAGAATTGGAAAACATTATAAAACAGGTTTTTTAATAACAGAAACTTTAAAATTATGCAGGTCAAACAGAAAAAATGTCATAGAATTTTAAATGAACAATAACCTGAGATGGAAGAGATTTACCTATAGAAGAGTAATACTCTTTCTTTTTTTTTTTTTTTTTTTTTTTTTGAGACAACATCTTGCTCTGTCATCCAGGCTAGACTACAGTGGCACTATCTCAGCTCATTGCAATCTCTACCTCCCAGGTTCAAGTGATTCTCCTGCCTCAGCCTTCCAAGTAGCTGGGACTACAGGTGCATATCATCACTCCCAGCTAATTTTTGTATTTTTAGCAGAGACAGGGTTTTGCATGTTTCCCAGGCTGGTCTCAAACTCCTGACCTCAAGCGATCCACCTGCTTTGGCCTCCCAAAATGCTGGAATTACAGGCTTGAGCCACCTAGCCTGGCCAGGAGTAATACTCTTAACAAACAAAAAGCTCTAAGAGGAGCTTTTTCAACATGGAAAAAAAATACACCAGTAGAAAAATAGGCAAAGATATACACAAGACATTCTTTTTTTTTTTTTTTTTTTTTTTTTTTGAGAGAGGGTTTTTTTTTTTTTTCCCAGGCCGGAGTGCAATGGCGCGATTTCGGCTCACCGCAACCTCCACCTCCTGGGTTCAGGCAATTCTCCTGCCTCAGCCTCCTGAGTAGCTGGGACTACAGGCACGTGCCACCACGCCCAGCTAATTTTTGTATTTTTAGTAGAGACGGGGTTTCACCTTAAATGATTCTTAAAGGGATAAATTATAAGTGGCAACAGACATGGAAAATGTTTACCATCTAGTGAAGAAATTAATGAAAATTAAAACAATAAAATGAGATGGTGTTTACCCTTTCAAAATGGCAAGTTTCAAACTTATGATGCATACCTAGTAGTGATGAGAAAATGGGACACGGGTTCCCTCTTACACTGCTGGTAATACTATAAAATTGATCCATTCTTTGTGGAGTATGATTAGGTAATATGTTGGGGTTTGGTTTTTTTTTTAAGTTTCCAAAGTGTTCATCTCCTTTGACCTGACAGTTCAACTTCAAGGAATCTCTTATAGGAAAATATTCAAGTATACATGGAGAGATTTAGTTAAAAGGCTACTCCTTTGAGCAGTATTCTTTAAATAAAGGATTGATTAAAATATGAAATATTTGTATGACAGAATATGATATGGTTATTCATATTATGGAAATATTTTATAGATGTGAAACGATGTTTATGATTTTTAAGTAAAAATTATTATAAAATAGTTTGTATACTATATACCAAAAGACAATAATTATCTGAGTAGTAAGATCATAGTGATTTTTTTCCCTCTATTTTACTTTGTGCATTTTCTAATTTATCTACTTAGTGTATATTTACTACTTGATCATTTCTTTCAAACTGAGTGTAATTTTTAGAAATTTTCTAATATAGCCCGTTGTTCCTACATTCAAAGAAATCAGGTTCTCAAAGTTAAAGCTGCAAAGTGCCTAAACTAGGAATTAATCTTCTTGCCCCAAGTTCAGGGTTGTTTCTCTTACACATTGCTTTGTCTGTTAACTCTGATTATATGGGCAGTGTTTCTAGTCAGGGGCTATTATTTAATACATACTTCAATTTTTCCTCCCCTGCATTTAGGCTGGTGTCTTGCCACAGAAATAAACCTTCAGGAAAGATCTATTGGATTAAATGTCTTGTGGGGGTAAGGCAGGTTTTTTTGTTGCATGTTTTTGTTTTGGTTTGGTTTGGTTTGGTTTTTGGTTTTTGGTGTTTTTTTTTGAAAGGGAGTCTTGCTGTGTTGCCCAGGCTGGAATGCAGTGGTGTGATCTCGGCTCACTATAACCTCCAACTCCTGGGTTCAAGTGATTCTCCCGCCTCAGCCTCCCAAAATGCTGGGATTACAGGCATGAGCCACCATGCCTGGCCACAGCCCAATATTTTTATGAATCTTATTCCCCAGATATAACATACACACAAACACTAACCTAGTTTCATAGTTGTTTTCATAAGCTTGCTAAGAATGTTTCTCTTTTCATTGCAAGACCTTTAAAAACAGCTTTGCTTTGTTACTTTCTTCCTCTATTAGATTACAGACATATTTTATGAAAAGATAGAGAAGGAATGGCTTTGCATTTATTCTTGTCTTTTGGTTAGCTGTTTTCTCCCTCTTTCAACATATCCCTGCTGTCTCCTAGCTTTCAGGTCCCTCTGCTGTTAGCGTTCATTAAGCCAGTATACTACTCTTGATTTTCCCCTCATCAACAGAAGGGAGCTGCCAGTTGTCCAAAGTGTGCACTTGACCATCTTTTATTCTGTCTCTTTTCTCCCTTTTATGCGCCATCTTTGTCATTCTCTATGCAGTGTGTTTCTTCCTCTTCTAAGTCTGAATCATTTCCCTCCAAGATGTTATCTTTGCTGCCTGCTTTAGATTTTTCTGGTTGAATTTCTATTTGGGTTCCTCTCCCAAAGGTCCTCCCGCTTCTTTGTTTACTTCTCACAGTGCAGTCTCCACCTGATTGATTTCACTTGTCCTACATCTTCTGCACGTGCAGGATCCATCTCACTAATTTCCAGCTGTTCCTCTCCCCATCTCCCTCTTCCCTTTTCTGTTTTTCTTCTTCTTTTTTGCCCTCCCACTACCATGAACTCTTCCTCTCACTTTGTTTTGCCTTATTCTTCCTCTAAGAGCCTTTTGCCCTCCTCACTGCCTTTCGCAGAAGTTTATGTGGTCTCTGTCTGACTTTAGCCCAGCCTTCATTGAAACTACTTTCTTTTCCATTTTTATCAGATCCTAATTTGGCGAAAGTTTTACGTACTTTTTCTGTATATGTACTGGGACACCTTTTTGCCCCTAGTGATATTATACCTTGGCATGCTGTATCTGTACCATTTCTACTCAGCTTCACTTGCTTTCATGAGTGTCACTGGAACATATTTTGGGGCTTCTATATATAAAGCTTACCTGGAGTCACTCTATTTAACAAATTTAAAATCAAGAAACATCAACTGACAAAAGAATTTTTTGCCCCTATGTGTAAATGTTTTTTATATGAAGATAGTGCCACCATTTATTTAAGATTGGGCCAGTTGCTTACAGCACAGGTGTTCCCTATCCTTCCTGTGCCCCCCAGGGAAAGCCCTTTGGGAATGATTAGCTGCTGCCCTTTCTTGCCACCATGTGCCGGCTGTCACTTTTCTCAGGAGTAGTCGATGGAATTGACCTTAACCAGACTTGCCATCGTTCTGAAACTGAAGTGTGTTTTCTAAGGACAACCAGTTGTTAAACCTTTGTCTTTAGAAGAAAGATAGTAACCTTTTTGTGTGAGTCCAGAACTCATCAATGCCATATGAATGATTGCATTAAAAAATGTTAGGCTCAGCCCCACTAGTTTATCACACACTAGTTGTAGTGCAAATGCTACACATGCTCTAAGGAAGCAACTTCTTGATTCATCGCATATTGATTCTTGATTTTTCTGAATGGTATATTTGTTTTACATCAAAGCCACATCTAGATGCTTAATTGTCACTATCTCGATCAATCAAAAATGAGACAACCCAATTTTTAATTGATTTGAAAAATGTAATAACCTAATTATATAAAAGTAGGCACAGCCATAGACTAAATGAAAGAATGCTGTTTAGTAAAATTATCTATATCCTTTTGAATCACTGACCCTGAAATATCATCCATGAGAATTTTTTCCCCCACTGAATGAAGAATTTTATATACTCTTATTGCCTGCTCTTAATTTCTGGAAGTTACTCCTGATTTGCAGTTTTTAGTGTCTGTATTTGGGAATTATATTTCTTTTTTGCTTATATTAACCTGTCAGTGCAGGAGCAGACCTTAAACAACTGCTAATGATACAAGTAATATATTTGAGAGGCAAACTAGAAAGTAGGTAATTAGTATTTGGGTCTTATTTGGTTGTGTGTGTTTGTATGTGTTTGCGTTTTACACAGTGTCTTTTATTACCTGTGCTGTTGCCTGAGCACACTGAGATTTGGTGGTAATCAGAAGACATCATTCAAGTTTATTTAGTACATTTTGTATATTTTTCTCTCTAGTAAAGAATTGAAGAAAAGTGAAGAGATACCCAAATGCACAGAGGTGAAGTGACAAACCAAATGGAATTTCTTTTCAGAGTTCAGAATTTTCAGACACTAAAGAGGAAGAAAGGATCCATTACTTGTTGTCCTTGTGAATGACTCTAGAAAAATCAGAATCAACTTGTGGGTGGAAAAATCAATGTGGCCTTTGATTGTTATATACCGTTGTGATTGTTAGTTGGTCAAAGTATCGGTACTTGTATTATTAGTAGTTGCATCATAATTACATTACCAGTGTTGGAAAACTAAAGAAGAAAACACTATAATTGCTACTCAGCAAATGTGAATAAAAGGTGTTTGCATTGTTAGGATGTCTGTTAAGTAAGCATTTAATATTATTATATCGGTAATGTGGTTATATTTGTGATGTTATGGCCAGAATATGAAGTATCTGCTTTTGAAATTTACTGTATTTAAAAGATAAGCAGCTGGCTGGGTGCGATGCCTCACGCCTGTAATCCCAGCACTTTGGGAGGCCAGGATGAGCAGATCACCTGAGGTCAGGAGTTCAAGACCAGCCTGACCAACATAGCGAAACCCCATCTCTACTAAAAATACAAAAATTACTCGGGCGTTGTGGCAGGTGCCTGTAATCCCAGCTACTTGGGAGGCTGAGGCAGGAGAATTGCTTGCACCTGATAGGCAGAGATTGCAGTGAGCCAAGATCACACCATTGCACTCCAGCCTGGATGACAGAGCGAGACTCTGTCTCCAAAAAAAGATGAGGAGCTTTAGAATATGGTGTATTCAAAGTGGTCACAGTAACAAAAGCATTAAAAGAAAACAATTTACTTTCAAATTAAAATTTTGTGTTTCTTAAGAACAAATCATATGGGTAACTTCATACAGCTAAACTAAAAGTGACTTTTGGCTGGACTGGCAACAGTGTTCCAAATGTCTTTTACTTTTTTAAAAAAAAGGCATTTCATATTTAAGCATATACCTTTTTTGTAGACTTACATTGTTTAATATTTATTTTAGTCTTAATATTTTTACATTATTATAATGCATTATTATGTATTTCTAAGTTCCAGAATAATAGTGTCATTATTATAGACTGTATGTTTTGAAGTTTGATATAATAGCGGTATTCATTTTTTGCTCTTTTCTTGACTTTTCTCCTTTCTCAACTGTGTGATAAGGTCTGCTGATAAAATATTTAACACCAAGAAAGTGAAAACTAATAGAAAATTAGAAAGACTTATTTTCCAAATTAGACAATCAATCCCATTAAAATAAGAAGTGAGAAAAACAATGTTGGTCATTGAGGTATAAATTTTGCCCAGATGTATACCCAGTGTGAAATATCTTCTAGTAAAAATATATTTGGCTCTTATCCCTGCACATGTTGAAGAGGCATAAAAATTGGTAAACATGTCTCTGCTGTGTAGAACTTTAAAAAAAAAAAAAGGCATTTCGGAAAGTGTTGAGTGGCACTGATAACTGCTGAAGCCTGCAGCTGTGAACCCAGAAGCCTGTTCTGATGGCACTAAGTTTTCATTGTTCTGAATGCATAAGTCTGTGCATCAGGTACAGCTGGGCCCAGCCAGCTTGAGTCACTCTTGTACAAGCTTCTTTTTATCTGTCTTGTGAATGCACTTGATAATTTAAAAATAAAAATATTTGTTTCTCTGCCGTTTCATCTCATAATTTTGGGATGTGTGTTGATTTTCTGATTCAATCACACATAACTTCAACAGTTTTAGAAATAATTTAAATTAAGATGGATGAAAAATATGTCGGGGGAGCTAAGCATTTGCTAAGATCTTGATGTTTATATGAAAAATAAAGGGTTATTTTTATATTGCAGCTACTAAAGATAAAAATAGCGGTTGAAGCAAACACAGGAAAATTTGACTCTACTGAAAGCCCAGTCCTTTTCTCCTTTGTCTTGGTGACAAAATAAGACTGGGGTTATGTTCATGACTAGATTAATAAAATGCAATCTGAGATGAGATGGAGTGGGGGGAGATCATGACTGTGCCCTCCAGAATATAATCAAGCAGAAAATCAGATGCTAGGATCCATTTCATGATGTCCGGCATTAAACATTTCCTTATAACAAATTGGGTTTGTCTTTGTTCTGAAGGTATTGAATTTTATCCCATGTCATCTCTTTTATCCAAATAAGTAACAATTTGACACTATTTTCTTCTATATCTAAATAATATTTTTAAAACATTCTTAGAAATATACTTCCCAATTATTGATTCAATCCTGTCTTGAAGATTTAAGGTTTCTTCAGTTTTGATAAGATACTATGTATAGGAATTGGAAAACTAAAATAAAAATCAAGTTTTTAAAAGGTTTAGGCCAGGCGCGGTGGCTCAGGCCTATATTCCCAGCACTTTGGGAGGCCAAGACAGGCAGATCACCTCAGGTCGTGAGTTCAAGACCAGCCTGACCAACATAGAGAAACCCATCTCTACTAAAAATACAACATTAGCCAGGAGTGGTGGTGCATGCCTCTAATTCCAGCTACTCAGGAGGCTGAGGCAGGAGAATCACTTGAACCCAGAAGGTGGAAGTTTTGGTGAGCCAAGATCATACCATTGCACTCCAGCCTGGACAACAAGAGCGAAACTCTGTCTCAAAAACAGAATGTTTAATATATGAAATATTTTACACAATAAATACAACTATGTTTAAAATGCATGTTTTAAATGAAATCAATGCTTTTAAATGGCTAACACTTGGTACTTCTGAAGTCTTGTGCAGGGTTTCTCTCACATAAAAATGAATACTTGACCTTAATATTATGTTTAAATTATAGAAGAGTTTAATTAAAGAAAGATATTTTTAGGAAGCTCTCAGCAGGACTATATTTGAGAAATAACTTACCATTTTATAGCTTCATGTGACATGTTGTCACCTCAGCCATATATTTAACCACAAATATTTTTAAGAGTTAGGAAGCTCTAGAAACTATAACAAAAATTTATGACCTTACACTTTAGATGTATTCAAATATTTCTATCTGATGCCCATATCTGTTTAGTGAATTATGGGAACACTTTTAAGCAATCCAAATGTTTTAAGCTATATATTTGTCTGTTTCTATTTAATTGGCTGTACAGAAAATATTCAACAAATCTTCACTTTATCATGTACATGACCTCATTTACTCTTCACATCAAATCCATGAGACAGATAAAATCTTTCCTGCTCTGTAACTAAGGAAACCAAGTTTTGAAGATTAAGTAACTTCTCCAATGGCACACCTTCAGTCACTGCTAGCTGCAAATGGAGATGTCAGGGTCCACTGGGTGACCTGTGAAGTCCTGGATCTCAGTTGCTGTGGAGGGGAGGCCAGGAAATGCTGATACTTGGAGATGACAGCCCTCCCGAGAGTAACTAAGGAAGCAGTTGGCATGTACCTATGACTACACTCGGTCTAGAAACAGCTCAAATGTTTGTCATTCAACAGTGACCTAAATAAAATAAAATATATCTGAGCGAATTTTTTTTTAAAAAACTGATCATTTGTTTATCCCATAATTATTTTAGTAAACCTTTACTCCATACCATAATTATGTTTCCTTAAGAAACAGATTCTATAGAATCAAACTAATTACATGTACAGTAACATTTTATTCAAGAAACCTAAAAGGCGCCATTCCAGTCATATATGAGATAATAAAAACATCAAGAAGCATGTCAATCAAAAAGCTGTGTTGACTGGAGAACTCAATCTATGGATGGACACAATTATCTGCAGGAGAATTGAATGTCAGCATCATTTAGGGTTGACAATGGACTAACTAGGCAAAAGCAGACAGCTACTCTCTGCGGAGACCCAGGAAGCAAACTTGGTAATGAGGCACTTCATTCATCATATCCTTCTGCTCTAATTATTAAGGTGAATAGGAAATACTTTAAGCTAAGGCGGGAACTGGATAACAAAAACATTTGTTTTGTAAACACAAAGAATGCTGTTTTTCTAATGATCCCCTTCAAATCTACATCAAGCATATGTTGTGAGCACTCTGTTTTCTAAAGTTGCTCTTCTAACACCTCAAATTCACCGATTATAGATAGGTTATTTTCGTCTCAAAAAGCTAGGGAGGCTAGTGCTGCTAAGAATCAACACTGTTAGTTTCTCCTCAATCAAAAAAAAAAGGCATATGTGTGTGTGTGTATTTGTATGTATATATATATAGAGAGAGAGATACACACAAACACCACATATAATTTATGTTCCACCTCATCGCTTAGGTCAAAATGGTCCAACTATATACTTCAGTGTTATTTCTAAAAGTACTAAACAATATGATTTTTACTCATTATAGTTCATTTCTTCATAAAAATCATTTGAGCCCTATGAAAAAATATAACAGAAGAAAATTTAAGAATGGTTTCCTTATATTTATATAGGTAAACTCAAATATTCCCAAAGGATGATTTCTTAACATTGCTTGGAGTGGAGATGTCAGTGAAGATAAGAAAAAAAAAGTAGAGTCTGAAAGGAGGTAAAAGCAAGAAGTTAAGGAACATAACTTTCTGCTAGAGCAAAAATAAGCAACTGAAGCTTGCGCAAAGTGGTCACGAGACTAAAGGAAGAAGGTTCGCTGGAGAAAAGTTTGGTAGCTTCAGTTTGGTTTTTCTGAAATTTTCAGCCAAGAATCAGTAGTTTTTTGTTGTTGTTGTTTTTGTTTTTTCTTAAATTTGTTCACAAGGCCATTCTGTATAAATACTCCACATAATTTTCCCTGAGCTATGATTCTTTAATAAAAGTTAAGCACAGTAATGTGTTTAACCATCCCTGCCTATTAGACAAAAGTTAATGTTCGGAAGTATCTACTGATGCTACTTTTAGCAACTAAATATTTCCATGGTGGTAAAGAAATATCAGTAAAATCTATGGACTTTAAGCACATCAAATTCTTGTACTTATCATGTGTGCAGGCAGAGTACATAATAAACTAGTCTATAGCAGCTGTAAATTTCTGAGGATTTATCTAACCACAAATACATTGAAATGGGGAAATGGGTCTATATTAAACTATGCAAGATGCTGCTGGAGCTTTGCCATTTCTGCAACATCCTGTAATTAATTTATCATGACAGGTCTGGCAAACTGAAACATCCAATACACTTGTGACAGACTGTTATACTCTAGTTGTTAGAGATCCTGTAGTCACATTAAGTGAAGGTAGATTTTTTTTTTTTTGCCTTCAAACATGAACATAAGGCTATTATATTTAGAGTACCCTGTAGCCAAGGACAGATTTGTAATTTTTTAATTTCAAAATAACAAATATAGAATATGGAAAAATACCCCAGGCTGAAATCATGAGTTCAGTCTCTTCTCTGCCATGTGTGGTCCTTTCCTGAAGAGGAAGAGTCCTGGGAAGGGGAATGAGACAGTTTGGTCAACCCTTCCCACGCATGCGTCCCTCGGGCTAGATAGGGTGGATTTTCTCCCGGAAGATTTGAAGATCAGTTATCTCTTTGTTGTCTCTTTAACATATTCTTTTCCAGTAAGCCAAGCTCACAAGTCCGGCTTCTGTGTGCTCTCCTTTTCTGGAAGCTGCAGTCCTGCCATTTGCAAAGTTAAAGTACAAATTAAGTACAAAATTATTTCTGCTGCAACCCCATCCAATCCAGAGAAAGAAGAAAATGTAAAGCTTGCAGGGATTTTGACCAAAATAGATCCTATTGAACAATATGTTCTCTGTCCATGTGAGTGCGAAAGAAAGAGCCTTTCTTGACTTGATGTGTATAATTTGATGCAGGTTATATAGTGACTGACAGTAAGGTTGGATCTGTGTAGTAAACGAGGCTTCTTACTCCAAGAGTGAAGATACTTCCCAAGAAAAGTGAAACCTATATTGTATGATGGTCTACAGCCTTGCCCATTTCCTAGGGAAGATCAGAGTTTCTCATTCTACCAACAAGTGGACTCGAGGGGTTGGGAACTTAAATCTGGACTTTCGGTGAGAGAGAAGATGTTAGAGGAAAGGTCCTGGTGATGGAGAAGGAGTCCTGCTCAGTGGGAAAGAGGCGAGAAACTGGGCAAGGAGTCTTGAGTGGTCCCAGCCTACTTACCTCAGGTCAACTGTAAACACTAGGCAAGTTGTAAGTTCTTTGTATTTTCTTTCTATCCTTACTATTGGAAACGGATACTATCTCGGAAGACCTAAGAGGTTTGTTGCTTGGGCTTCATTTAAAAGAAAAGCACCCAGCAGATCCCCAGACTGAGCAGCTCAAGGGAAACGTGAATGAGAAACCATGGAGGAGAAGCTTGTGTGCCCTCCCGCTCCCTCCACCAGGTCCCCCTCCAGAGCCCCTTCCATGTCAAGAGTTGGGAAATCAGGTGGAGGGTGTGCCCAAAAACATGAGAACAAATACCTTTTTTTTTTTTGTCACCAAGCTGGAGTGCAGTGGCACGATCTCGGCTCACTACAACCTGTCTCCCAGGTTCAAGCAATTCTTCTGCCTTAGCCTCCTGAGGAGCTGGAACTACAGGGGCTCGCCACCATGCCCAGCTAATTTTTGTGTTTTTAGTAGAGACGGAGTTTCACCATGTTGCCCAGGATGGTCTCGATCTGTTGACCTCATGATCCACCCGCCTCGGCCCCCCAAAGTGCTGGAATTACAGGCATGAGCCACCACACCTGGCCAAAGACCCTTCTTTCACACAGTTA